AAATCCTTGCGAAACCAAGGGTGTTTGAAGGATTTCGGCATGCGCGCGCGTGCACCTCGTCCCGCTTCTTGTTTCCAAATTGATTCTAGCGGTCGCACGCGCGCAAGGGCGTGCGACCGATGTCTACACGCGCGCCAAAGGCCCTCTTGGGAACATGTATTCGGGAATGGATACGACACCGTTTCGTAAAAACAGGTGGTTTGGTGAAAACGACCTCGGGCCCAAACCTGGCGGACGCGAGCCTGGAACATGACGGCCGCATCGTCCTCTCGAGAACCGAAAACGGACAACTCACGAATCGACGTGTCAGGTTGGGGGTTGTGTCCACCCCCAATGTAATGAACAAGTTGGAACATCTGCGGTTATTGTTTTGCGAATTCGCAACAGCGCGAGCGCAAGCTTTGACTGGCAACTTTTGTTCCAAAACCATACGTGTTTGATATGGTTGAGGTCACATGGTGTAAACAACATTACGGAAACCAAGACATCTGTTTTAAAGGGTTGCGGCATGCGCGCGCAACGGCGCGCGCGTGTGCACTTCGTCCAAGAGTTGGTTGCAGAAGGGCTCTTGGAAGCTTCTGTTTTTTGATGAACGGATGCGTGCGCATAGCATTTGTTGCAGAAGATTGGGGTGGAACCGATTCCCGCCTGCCTGGGATGGTGCGAACTCAGATGTCGGATGAACGGTGGGGAAATATGGAGATTGCAATACGAAAAGGTGGCCCGTTAACCCCCGAGGGGGTGCTGGGCCCGTATACTCTTCTAATACAGATAATTTATGTGACGGCGCGGACGGAGCCGCCAGACCGCCAGCCAGGTCCAGACGACGGGCGGCGACGAGGCGGCGAAGGGGCGGCGACGGCGAGCACGGAGCCGCCAGACCGCCAGCCAGGCCCGAATCCTTAGAAAAGATCTATGACACCCCAAATGCAAGCACTTCTTATGGAACGGATGAACGCTACCGTTCTACCATCCTCTCCCTGTCCCGTAGGCGGGACAGGGAGAGACGTACAAATTCTGAGAAACCAACGCCGTGGCAATAAACTCGCGGAGGCCAGGTGCCGATCCGAGATACCCGCTCGGAAGTCCAACGGTTTATGCTTACATGCTGTTCCCACCCAGTTGCCCGGGCTGTTAGGTGTTAGCCTGCGTGGGCCCCAAACAGTGTGCTTCTAGCACTATGGAGTGTGCGGTACATTTCGAGCAGTACATATTGAGTACTCTATATGGTGCAACCTGTGGTGCGCAATACGGTGAGGGCATTGGATAAGTAAACCTTCGATGAGGAATCCAGGGTCTGGACGCCAGTGGGACTCCAATCGTGGATCGGCCATGGATAGCATCGCCGCCCTCATTGGATAAGGAACCATCCAGGGACCATCTCTTAAAAAAACGCCTCCACCGTATAGCGCAACACGTGTGATGCAAGATGTCTGGTGCAATATTTGCGGTGCAACATATGTGGTGCATTATACATAGTGCGCAACTAGCGTGGCGCATCCGACGTGGTGCAATCTATGTGGTGCAATTCACTTTGACCGTCTTGAAGCTGTCCTCTCCACTGCTGGTGCAAACATCCCACCCTCCCACCCGCAACTTGGTCGCACGACCTCTTAAGACAAGACCGTGACGGTAGGTATCACATGGCACTTGGCCACGACACCGACGCCGACGACGACAGCGACAACGACGACGACGGCGCCGCCGACACCGACTACGACGACACCGACGACGTCTTCAACGACTTCGGCGACGACAACGACGACGACGACGACGACGACGACGACGACGACGACGACGACACCGACGACGACGACGACGCCGACGCCGACGCCGGCGACGACGACGAGGGAGGAGGGAGGACGACGACGGCGACAACGACGACAACGACGACAACGACGAGGGAGGAGTGAGGACGGCGACGACGCGAACGACGAAGAAGGAGGAAGGACGGCGACGCCGACGACGACAACGACGAGGGAGGAGGGAAGACGACGACGACGACGACGACGACGACGACGACGACGACGACGACGACGACGACGGCGACGAAATAGGAGGGACGACGACGAGACGCCGACGACGGACGACGACGACGACGACGAGGGAGGAGGAAGGACGACCACGGCGACAACGACGACGGAAACGACCACGACGCCAAAGGGGACGACGACGACGAACACGAGGAAAGACAGAGAACGACGTAGGCGGACGACGACGACGACGAGGGAGGAGGAGGAAGGACGACCACGGCGACAACGACGACGGAAACGACCACGACGCCAAAGGGGACGACGACGACGAACACGAGGAAAGACAGAGGACGACGTAGGCGACGACGACGACGACGCGGGAGGAGGGAGGACGGCGACGACGACGACGACGCAAGAGCGCGTGCGCACGCTTTTGTTGAACATCCGTGTTGCAAAACCTTGTGTTTGTCGGTTTTTTGGACACACGATTTTGAAACCCTTCCGAAACCGATGGGTTCTAAGGATTTCGGCATACGCGCCCGACGACGCGCGCGTCTGCACTTCGTCCTTTTTTTGCAGAAGGTTCTCGCGACGGCACACGCGCAAGGGTGTTCGACAGATTTCGACATGCGCGCGCGAAGCCCGTTTGGTAGCATCTTGTGAAAAGCTTGAAAAACCTATGGTTATCTGGAGATGTCGCAAGAGCTCGCGCGTATGTTTTTTTAGCAAATCAGTGTTGCGAAACCCTGTGATTTTGCATGTTTTTGGAAACTCGATTGCGAAATCCTTCCGAAACCGAAGGTTTTTGAAGGATTTCGGCATGCGCGCGCGACGACGCGCGCGTGTGGACTTCGCCCCTTTTTTGCAAGGGATTCGTGAAACAGTGCTATGTTAGAACAACACATGTCACCGCATAGTGTTTTTTACAAGGGAACCTCAGGGGGGGAAACCAGTTGGCCTGGGACATTGTGATTTCATATTTAGGATGGACATGTCGTCATTCGTATATATGATTTACATGCCCGAAAGGAGTAGCGATAACTCCGGGGGGGGTAGAGTCTATTCTCTTTTCAGAAAGGAGAATACGTATATATATATATGTATATGTTGTGCTAACCATGTGGTGCAGTAGATGTGGTGCAATCTGTGCGGCGCAAATAGATTCCTATGGTGTCCAATCGGTGTGGTGCAATCTATGCTGTGCAACCTGTGGGGCGCAAACGACGTGGTGCAGCCTATGCGGTGCAAGATGTTGCGGCACAATCTGCATTGTGCAAGTTGAGCGGCGACGGGGCGGCGACGGCGACAGCATAGCCGCCAGACCGCAAGCCAGGCCCAGACGACGGGCGGTGGCGAGGCGGCAACGGGGCGGCGACGGTGGACTACGTGGCCGCCAGACCGACGCACAGTCCCGGCCCCTTTCGAACACAAGCAAGAACCCTAAGTGCAAGCACTGCTTGGGGAATATGTTAAAGAAAAGAGCTCCCGAGCCGCGCCGCGCACCCTGCATACCGCAGCCACCACGACGCATCAAGTGCCTCGGTGATCCCTGAGGGTCTCGTCTCGCGTCTTCGGCGAATGACGACTGCAGACCAAGGCCGCCAGACCCCAAGTGGCCAAGTGATCTCTGAGGATCCCGCCGCGTGCCTACGACGAAAGACGGCATCACGAACCATGAAGCGAATTACACAACAAACTTGCAGAACGACCAGCCAGGAACAATGCGTATCAAGAACACTCATACACAACAGGCCTACGCAACGTACACGCAAACGGTACAATAAAACGAACTAACACACCAAACGTACGAGACCTGAACGCCCCGGAGTCCAATGACGACATCATGGACAGGCATACAGAACAGGCGTACGTAACATGCAACCCCACCATGGAGGCGTCACGGCGTCACCGTCCAGGCGCCACGAAGTCACGCCGTCCACGGTCACCTAGAACGGACACCAAGAACATGCACCAAGAACAGCCAACAATAACAGTAACCGACGCCGAGGAAAGGCAGCAAGAAACCATACATAACAGAAACCGAACACATCAAGCACAGGCATCAATGGCATACAACAAAAAGACATCAAGCACCGATACCGAGGTCGGAAACCAAGAGCATATACCAAACATAAGAATTAACGCGTACAGACTTCAAGATCAAACGTCAAGAACAAGCACCACTAGAATACACCAATAGCATACACCAAAAACAACGGACGGCCAGCCACACATCAAGTACACACACGCACATATCAAGAATGTGCCTCCTAGGATACACACCAAGCACAAACACCAAGAACCAATACCAAAAACAGACATCAAGAGCACACACCACTCACACACATGATACACACCAATCAAATACTCCCAGAACCGGCAGCAAGAGCAGACATCAGCCATAGACACCAAGACCTTGCATCAAGAGCAAGCACCAAGAACAAACACCAAGAACAACGACGCATGGCATGCACCAGTACACTTGAGCTACAGGCACGGATAATGCACCTACAAACATCAAGCGCAGCCCCCCAAAACATACACTAGCAGCAATTACATGCGCATAGCACAGACACCAGCAATACCCAGCATCACCAACAAGTGAAAGCAGTCACCCATCACTTACACAGCACAACGAAGCCAATATCATATATCGACCATTGACACCAAGAACGAACATCAGCCACAGACATCATGAGTATGCGCCAATAGTAGTGACCAATAACAAGCGCCAGCATAATGCAGCAATACCATGTGCATCTCATCGACACCAACGAGGGTATATACACGCACACATCAAGAAGAGGCCCCAAGAAGAGACATCAATCACATATACCACTAACAGGACATCCATGACAGACATCAGCAACATTCATTAGGAATCGACAGCTAGATGAACTGAAACACATCAATGGAGAGCGCTCGAAGCTAGATATCGTTTTTGTTCGATCGAACGTCGATCCTCGATGATCGAGGAAACACATAAATCGATGATCCTGCGGCGGAGGTGGCCGAAAGGGCGCGGACCGCCGGAATCGCGGCGGAGAGGAGTAGCGGCGCAAGCAGCGAGAACGCCACAAAACAGGTCGTGGGCCGCAGCCGCAGCTGCAGGTCCATCACATTCACCTGTGAGGGAGAACTTCTCTCTTCCACCGCAACGCTTAGGTCGGGCATGTCCCCCACAGGCGGATTTTTTTAACGAAAAATCACACATAGTCAAACATATGTAAAAATGCACCAAAATACTAAACACATCGTCCCCATATCATGTTTTAAAACTATATTTAAATATTCCTCCTGTAGAGGGGCAGGCCCGACTTACCGCAACGCACGCGCAACATGCCCGGACTTCCTGGCCTCTCGCCCTAGAGATTTCACTGCCCTGTTTTTCGGCGGCGAGCGAGGGGGGGGAAGGCCTTCTCAGAAGGCTCGGAAGTCCCCCAGCCTCCTGAGAAATGTTCTAAGCCTTCCCCAAAGACAGGAAAAAGCCGCTCAGGAGGCGCGAGGGCTCCTGAGAAGTCCCGCCGCCTTCTGAGAAGGCCTTCTCCTTCTCGCTTCCCCCCCTCGCTCGCCGCCGAGTTTTGGCTTTCGTCGCCGCGCCTGGCCCCCCAGAGGCTCTCGCTGGGCCCCTGGACCGTCGCAAGACGGCTCGGGGTGGAGAGAGCCGAGCCCCCGGGGAAGCGGCCCAGAAATCTGGGGGGCCAGGCTGCGAAAAGTGACGGGGTCGCGGAGGAGAGGCAGCGGCAGGGGCGTTCCCCTGGGAGGAGGAGGAGGAGGAGGAGGAGAGAGGAGGAGGAGGAGGAGAGGAGGAGGAGGAGAGAGAGAGAGAGGAGGAGGGGAGGAGGAGGAGGAGGAGGAGGAGGAGAGCAGGAGGAGGAGGAGGAGAGAGGAGAAGGAGGAGGAGGAGGAGGAGGAGGAGGAAGAGCAGGAGGAGGAGGAGGAGGAGCACCCTCTCCCCCACCTCTTCCTGACACGAGCAGGCACTGTACAAACATGCAGATCAATCACCGGAGATCCGCGCGGACTTCTTGGGTCGGAGCTAGACCAGGGTTAGGTCGGGCACGTCCCCCTACAGGCGGATGTTGGACGAAAAAAATACCCCCAACATGCCCAAACAATTACCCACAGAAACTGAACAACTCGTCCCCTGACTATTTTGTTGGCCATTATGAACGTTCCTCCTGTAAAGGGACAGGCCCGACTTAATACCATTGAGCAGGGACCGACCGTCCCGGCATTCCTATAGTCCTACCACGAAATGTTCTTAGAACCCAGAAGTGTTAACATGATGTTTTGAGAACAGTTCGTGTAAAGCACAGCATGTAGCAGGTTCTAAGAACATTCTGTGGTGGGGCTGTAGGCGAGCCAGGACGCTTCGCCACTGCTCGAACTTAATTAAGACCAGGGGCACCCCTGGCAACAACCGAGTCTCGCCCCGCCGGGTGCGGCAGAGCCGTCGCCCGTCTCGCCCGGCCCCCGCGCACGCAGAACGCGCATGCCTTGGCGTTCGTAACAACTTTTAAGTCGGGCGCGTCCCCCTACAAAGGGGTTTTCGACGAAACATAAAAAATAACCAACACATGCCCCAAAAGGATAAACAAAAAAAACAAATATTCCAAAAATAGTCCCCAGACTATTTTGGGACAATTTTTGAATATCCCCCTGTAGAGGGACAGGCCCGACTTAAAACAACTTCTTGGCTGCACTAAAGGCTGCTGGCTCTGCTCTGCCCGTGTGTGCGCAGACCCGGGGCTGCTTCCGGGTGCGTTCCCGCGGGGAGAAGGAGTCGGGGGCGCGCAGACACGGATTAGCCTTAAGTCGGGCCTCCCCCTACAGGGGGATTTTCGACGAAAGATAACACATACGCAACAGATCCTCAAAAGCTGCCCAAAAATACTTTAAAAATGGTCCCCAGACTATTTTTTAATATTTTTGAATATTTCCCTGTAGAGGGACAGGCCCGACTTAAGACTAGCGACCCATGGACTTGGTCGCCAAATCCATGGATCGGAGGAGGTGCCCTCCCCGAAATGCGGCCGGTGCCGCCTCGCTCGGCGGCGGAAATCCGCGATTTCCCGTGGAAGCGGGACCCGTCGCTAATCCACGCCCCCTTAATCCATGTTTGCGATCGCCTGAAGTCGGGGAACAAAAAGTGACAAAAAACATAAAACTCAGAGGTCCGCGCGGAGTTCTCGGATCGGCGCTGGACCCCCGTCCCTGGCGCGCGGAGCGCGCCAGGGGTTGCGCCGGAGGCGCCGCCAGGGGGCCCCAGCGCCGATCCGAGAAATCCGCGCGGACCTCCGAGTTTTTAGGTCTATGTCACTTTTTGTTCCCCTATGAATGAAGATGACATGCCACCTTTCGGAGGGAAGGCGTAACAGCCGGCGCTGCTTCAACAGGCTGGGCCTGTGAAGAAGGCCTATCTCGGGCCGCGGGACCCTCAAGAACTACACGGGGGTGAAGAGCGAGCCGCGCGGGATGGACTGAGAGCCCACTGGGTCCGCAAGAAGAGGTCCCCCTACTGGGGATCGTGGATTGACCTCGGCCGCCGGAGAACGCTGGGGAGTTCCTGGGGCCGCGAGAACACTCTGCCGGGGGTGGGGGGTGGGGGGGGGGAATCTGCCCCTCTCCTCTCGCAGATCGATGGACTGCCATTCAGACATCATTGTTACCAGTGCCCAGTTCTTTTCGAAGGAGAAGAAGAGGGCGGACAGCGTGCACCACACAGCAGTCGACCGCTACCAGATCTGACGCATCAGAAGTAGCAATGGACGCAGCAGCAGTCACCAGCCAGCCACAGCCGGGGAAACTCTGATTCTTGCGCCCTCGGGAGAACACGTCCAGTACACGATCTCGCGAGCGGGGTGTCGAAGTAAGTGGGCCCCACACGAAGGATCACAGCTCCCCCAATTGCGGCTGGTCGGTAACATAACCACAAACAGCAATCAGCGGCAGCATGGGCGACGGCATTACGGCTTCCTCTGGCGCAAGTCCACGCCGACAATCTCGACCCAGGCCTAGCTCATGCTGGCCTTGAGCCGTACAGCCACAGGAACCTGTTCCCTGATCTTGCCATCGCTCGGACGTCCATTTCCCGTGCATTGTTAGGTTTCTTGCGTGTTTTTGCTCGATGGTCCAGGAGGGTCCTCGATGGCTCTCGCCGAGAAGAAAATCACACGTACGAGCGATGCAAAGTGATGCGTGCGTCTCCTCCTCAGCGCCCTCTGGGCCTCCTGCCGTTGCAGCGTCGCGCACCGCGCCCCGCGACGCGCGACCCGCGGACATCCTCGCGCCCTCGCGCCGCCCCCCGAGGAAGAGCAGCTCCCTGGACCAGACCTCAGACTGCGACGCGCCAAGGACGATTATCTTCGCGCCCCTGGAGGGTGACCTGCTGAGCTCTTCCTCCCCAGGGGTGTCGCTTGATGGGCGGGGCTGCGCAGAAGGATTCACCAACCTGCACAGCTCTTAGCAGGGATGAGTCTCCCCCTCGGAGTCTCCCCCTCGGCTTACGGCAGCCAAACTGGGACTTCAAGATTTACCTCACCCCCCTCCCTGACGTAACGCGTGGAAGGTGGGTAGAAAGGAGCTGGGGAGGATGAGGAGGAAGCCCCTGGAGGTCTCCAAAAGCCTCAAGAGGCCCCTGAGAAGCCTCCGCAAAAGAAAAAACCAAGTACCGTTTAAGATCTCCCATTACTAGCCGGCCGCTCTGCGGTTGATCGGGAGTTTCTGTATATAGAAGAAGGTGCGTGCGCTTGTTGGCGAGGGTGAGGATGAGGTTCCTCCTCCTCCTCCTCCTCCTCCTCCTCCTCCTCCTCCTCCTCCTCCTCCATCCTTCTCTTGCCTCCGTCTGTCCTCCTCCACCCCGCAGCTCCATCATCTTCTCCTCCTCCTCCTCCTCCTCCTCCTCCTCCTCCTCCTCCTCCTCCTCCTCCTCATTCCTCCTCTGGGCACCTCCCCCGGGGCGCGGATCCACCGGATCTGTCCGGATCTGTCCGGAAACGGTGCCGGAGGCCGCTCTGGGCTCCTCTGGGCACCTCCCCCGGGGCCGGTTTTGTGAGGATGTCTCAAGCGAGGGCGCCGGTTTGGGATTCGTCATCCACCGGATCCAGCGGATCTGTCCGGAAACGGTGCCGGAGGCCGCTCTGGGCTCCTCTGGGCACCTCCCCCGGGGCCGGTTTTGTGAGGAATCCACCGGATCTGTCCGGAAACGGTGCCGGAGGCCGCTCTGGGCTCCTCTGGGCACCTCCCCCGGGGCCGGTTTTGTGAGGATGTCTCAAGCGAGGGCGCCGGTTTGGGATTCGTCGGCGGATCCACCGGATCCACCGGATCTGTCCGGAAACGGTGCCGGAGGCCGCTCTGGGCTCCTCTGGGCACCTCCCCCGGGGCCGGTTTTGTGAGGATGTCTCAAGCGAGGGCGCCGGTTTGGGATTCGTCACCGGATCCAGCGGATCCAGCGGATCTGTCCGGAAACGGTGCCGGAGGCCGCTCTGGGCTCCTCTGGGCACCTCCCCCGGGGCCGGTTTTGTGAGGATGTCTCAAGCGAGGGCGCCGGTTTGGGATTCGTCACCGGATCCACCGGATCTGTCCGGAAACGGTGCCGGAGGCCGCTCTGGGCTCCTCTGGGCACCTCCCCCGGGGCCGGTTTTGTGAGGATGTCTCAAGCGAGGGCGCCGGTTTGGGATTCGTCACCGGATCCAGCGGATCCACCCACCGGATCTGTCCGGAAACGGTGCCGGAGGCCGCTCTGGGCTCCTCTGGGCACCTCCCCCGGGGCCGGTTTTGTGAGGATGTCTCAAGCGAGGGCGCCGGTTTGGGATTCGTCACCGGATCCAGCGGATCCAGCGGATCCACCGGATCTGTCCGGAAACGGTGCCGGAGGCCGCTCTGGGCTCCTCTGGGCACCTCCCCCGGGGCCGGTTTTGTGAGGATGTCTCAAGCGAGGGCGCCGGTTTGGGATTCGTCACCGGATCCAGCGGATCCAGCGGATCCACCGGATCTGTCCGGAAACGGTGCCGGAGGCCGCTCTGGGCTCCTCTGGGCACCTCCCCCGGGGCCGGTTTTGTGAGGATGTCTCAAGCGAGGGCGCCGGTTTGGGATTCGTCACCGGATCCAGCGGATCCACCGGATCTGTCCGGAAACGGTGCCGGAGGCCGCTCTGGGCTCCTCTGGGCACCTCCCCCGGGGCCGGTTTTGTGAGGATGTCTCAAGCGAGGGCGCCGGTTTGGGATTCGTCACCGGATCCACCGGATCTGTCCGGAAACGGTGCCGGAGGCCGCTCTGGGCTCCTCTGGGCACCTCCCCCGGGGCCGGTTTTGTGAGGATGTCTCAAGCGAGGGCGCCGGTTTGGGATTCGTCATCCAGCGGATCCACCGGATCTGTCCGGAAACGGTGCCGGAGGCCGCTCTGGGCTCCTCTGGGCACCTCCCCCGGGGCCGGTTTTGTGAGGATGTCTCAAGCGAGGGCGCCGGTTTGGGATTCGTCACCGGATCCAGCGGATCTGTCCGGAAACGGTGCCGGAGGCCGCTCTGGGCTCCTCTGGGCACCTCCCCCGGGGCCGGTTTTGTGAGGATGTCTCAAGCGAGGGCGCCGGTTTGGGATTCGTCACCGGATCCAGCGGATCGCGGATCTGTCCGGAAACGGTGCCGGAGGCCGCTCTGGGCTCCTCTGGGCACCTCCCCCGGGGCCGGTTTTGTGAGGATGTCTCAAGCGAGGGCGCCGGTTTGGGATTCGTCATCCACCGGATCCACCGGATCTGTCCGGAAACGGTGCCGGAGGCCGCTCTGGGCTCCTCTGGGCACCTCCCCCGGGGCCGGTTTTGTGAGGATGTCTCAAGCGAGGGCGCCGGTTTGGGATTCGTCGGCGGATCCACCGGATCCACCGGATCTGTCCGGAAACGGTGCCGGAGGCCGCTCTGGGCTCCTCTGGGCACCTCCCCCGGGGCCGGTTTTGTGAGGATGTCTCAAGCGAGGGCGCCGGTTTGGGATTCGTCACCGGATCCACCGGATCTGTCCGGAAACGGTGCCGGAGGCCGCTCTGGGCTCCTCTGGGCACCTCCCCCGGGGCCGGTTTTGTGAGGATGTCTCAAGCGAGGGCGCCGGTTTGGGATTCGTCACCGGATCCACCGGATCTGTCCGGAAACGGTGCAGGAGGCCGCTCTGGGCTCCTCTGGGCACCTCCCCCGGGGCCGGTTTTGTGAGGATGTCTCAAGCGAGGGCGCCGGTTTGGGATTCGTCACCGGATCCACCGGATCTGTCCGGAAACGGTGCCGGAGGCCGCTCTGGGCTCCTCTGGGCACCTCCCCCGGGGCCGGTTTTGTGAGGATGTCTCAAGCGAGGGCGCCGGTTTGGGATTCGTCACCGGATCCAGCGGATCTGTCCGGAAACGGTGCCGGAGGCCGCTCTGGGCTCCTCTGGGCACCTCCCCCGGGGCCGGTTTTGTGAGGATGTCTCAAGCGAGGGCGCCGGTTTGGGATTCGTCACCGGATCCACCCAATCCACCGGATCTGTCCGGAAACGGTGCCGGAGGCCGCTCTGGGCTCCTCTGGGCACCTCCCCCGGGGCCGGTTTTGTGAGGATGTCTCAAGCGAGGGCGCCGGTTTGGGATTCGTCACCGGATCCAGCGGATCGGATCTGTCCGGAAACGGTGCCGGAGGCCGCTCTGGGCTCCTCTGGGCACCTCCCCCGGGGCCGGTTTTGTGAGGATGTCTCAAGCGAGGGCGCCGGTTTGGGATTCGTCACCGGATCCACCGGATCTGTCCGGAAACGGTGCCGGAGGCCGCTCTGGGCCCCTCTGGGCACCTCCCCCGGGGCCGGTTTTGTGAGGATGTCTCAAACGAGGGCGCCGGTTTGGGATTCGTCACCGGATCCACCGGATCTGTCCGGAAACGGTGCCGGAGGCCGCTCTGGGCTCCTCTGGGCACCTCCCCCGGGGCCGGTTTTGTGAGGATGTCTCAAGCGAGGGCGCCGGTTTGGGATTCGTCACCGGATCCACCGGATCTGTCCGGAAACGGTGCCGGAGGCCGCTCTGGGCTCGTGCTCTTCGCGCCGGGGGTGAGGATGACGTGAGTTCCACAGAAACTCCCTCAAATGAATATTCCTTTTCCTCTTCCTCCTCCTCCTGTAAGGGGATGGGGAGGAGGAGGGCGGCAGGAGGATGGCGATTCAAGCGCCATTCTTGTGACGTCCGCCGCCCGAGCCCTACCTAATCTGGCCTCACGCCCTTCTCTCTGGGAACTGTGCCATGAAGACTCTGCAGAGATACAGGAGTCGATGTCGCAGACACGTTAAGGATGGGGTGAAACCACGAATTGGAAGTCCCCCCCCTTCCCTGACGCAACGTGTGGGAGGTAGGTAGAAGGGGTTGGGGAGGATGAGGAGGAAGCCCCTAGAGGCCCCCCAAAGGAGGAAGCCCCTGGAGGATGAGGAGGCCCTGGAGGTCCCCTGGGGTCAAACCACGAATTAGAAGTTCCCCTGCTCTTTCCTCCCTCCTCCCACCTCCTCCACCCGAAACCCGAGCCTCCAGCCTTCCGCAACCAGGCGGCCGCGGCGAGCGCGACGGCGCAGGAACGGCGAGCAGGCCAGCGGCCGCGGCGGCGGCGACGACGGCGGCCGCGATAGCCGCGCCGGATTCTGCGCACTGCTGAGCCCCAAGTCGGGCGTGTCCCCCTACAGGGGGATTTTCGACGAAACATAACAAATACTCAACAAAAAAACAGAGTCCAAAATGGTCAAAACATATACAAAAAATGTCCCCAGACTGTTGTGTGGCTATTTTTGAGCATTCCCCCTGTCGAGGGACAGGCCCGACTTGAAAGCTTGGCCGATTCCCATCCCACCGGCATTGCCTCGGCCCGACCGGTCGACCTGCGCTCCCTGGCGGGGGTCCAGGCTGGTTTCTGCGGGCGCCGCAGGCATCCCCTGTCCATCCGGGGGGGGGGGGCTGGGCTGGTGGGGCCGAGGCACCCGGGCCCGGCGGTGGTGGGGTATCGGGCAGGCGGTGATGGGTTCTGCGCCCCCCGGGGCACCCCGTACCACAGGAGGAACATCAGCTGCCACAGGGGTATCCGGAGGAGCTTCCTCCCCAGCCTCTCCCTGGCCTGCGAGGCGCTCAGGTCCAGGCCCAGCTCGTCGGCGAGGGGCACCACGAGGACGGCGTAGGCCGTGAGCTGCAGGGTCAGGAAGACGCAGGCGTGCGCCAACCTGGCGCAATCAAAACCGGCCATGGAGACGGAAGTATCTGAAGGGGCCCTGGGACACACAAATAGATAGACACAAATAACAGGACTCCCCATAGTTTCCCATATGTTCTGCGCTTCTGCCATCCCCCCCAATTCCCATATGTTCCCATACTTTCTGGGGAATCGACGATTGATTGAGTCTGTGTGTTTTCCCCTCCTGAGATTCAGCCAACCGCATGCGAGCCACACCACTGCAGGTCAGATTGCTGAGGCACTGGCGGGGGCTCAGAGCAGAAAAGGATGTCTTGAACCCCAGCGGGGCGGGACGTCCTGTACCCCAGCGTCGACTGGATCTGGAGGGGTAGGGTTCGCTACGGTGACGGCATTGGATAAGGAAGCCTTCGATAAGAAAGCCAGGGTCTGGAAGCCAGTGGACAGCCAATCGTGGATTGGCAGTGGATATCACCGCCGCCCTCATCAGATAAGGAACCCTCCAGGGCTTGAGGCCCCCGGACGCATTCCTTACCAGCGCCCCCACCGTAGCGGTTGCGGAAGGAAAGGCGCAAGGCGTCCATCGAGGGGCCGGCGAACAGCTGCGAGACGCCAGAGAACTCCAGAGACATGGCGAATATTGTCCGAACTGCGGTTTGCAGGGGTCACTTGCGTCTCGCGCGTGTTTTGATTAGAGGAGTGCTACCAGGCTTCCACTGGACCTGCCGCCATGCGAAGGTAATGCAAATCCTCTTGCCCCCAGTGATACCTGCAGAGCCCACCACAACGTTCCCGACGTTCCCCACCCGCCAGAAGACCTCGATCCTGGATCGACGACGGCGATGGCGAGAGTTGCGTTACCATGCCGCTCGTTGCCACCAGGATTGGCGTGCACGCCCTGCATTTGGCGACACGCACATGGGAGTGGCGCGAGGATGGCGGCCTTCTAAGAAAGCGGAGGGCTCCTGAGAACGCAGGGGGGGCTTCGCTGAAGCCCTCCCGGCGCCCAAAAAGCTTCACGGGAAGCCTCTGTACGTCTTTCGAGGGAGGAGGTGGTTGGGAACGGACAGCGCAAGACCCAATGATGGAGCCACGCGCGCCGGCGACATCCTGCTCCTACTCCTCCTCGCCCCCTTACCCCCCCCCTCCTCGTCCATGAGCGCCGGCCCAGATGCCGACCCAACCAGGCCGCGGGTCCGCGAGGCACACACGGCGCCGTGGGGGCAGTGTCGAAGGGGGTCATCTCCGAGGAGGTCGCCACCTCCTCCTGGTTAGGAGGGGGAGGATGGGGGAAGAACCCCCCAGGATCAGGTTGCTCCCATCGTACTTACGGACCACATCCCAAAAATAATTTCGAGCACCCGGAAAAGTGTCGAAAGAATGTCGAAACGGTGTCGAAGCATTGTCTCCCAGGGCCCGGCACGTGAAAGCTCTCGAGTTTCGGTGTGTGTGTGTGTGTGTTTTTTTCTGGTGCTCGAAATTCTTTCTGGTAGTCAAGGCTAAAGTAGGTCGGAACATCATGAACCCCAGGATCCCCCGCGCATCCACACGACAGCCCTGAGCACCTAGAAGTAACCAAAATCTGTTCGATCCTCGATCCCCCTTCCTCCTCGATCCTCGATTCTCGGGAGCAGCTCGTGCCCCCCTCGGTGGTGACCCCCGTGTTGTGGCAAAACTCTAGCGCGCGACGTCCTCGCGCGACTCTCTTCCATCATGGCGCCGGAACCAACCGTGCCCTGCAGGCGGTTGAGCTCCTGTGTACGGCGCCCTCGTGACAGCAGTGCCGATGCACACGTATCACTCCGAAGCCCTGAACAAATTGCAACGGGCACCTCTCGGGAAACCCTTTTGTTGCTTCCGCCGGCTTCTGCTGGCGAGGCAGCCCTCGTCTTGCTCTCGCGAGCATCTGCCGGCCTCCTTCCGCCCGGGAGGAGATGTCGACCCCTTCGACCCTCGAAGACGAGGCCCCTTCTGGAACGCACAGTCTGGGACGACCGCGTGGAACATCTGAGCGCACGAGCAGACACCACCACCCACGTCACTGAATCGCAAGCGACCTGGCGCCGCCTGCACCTGTTGGGGCTCGGGCAGGGCCCCCCGGGCAGCCGCCAGAGCTCCGCCGCCCTCGGCGCGAGGAGGACCCAGTCCTTGTTCTGCGCGACGAGGCGCCACCGGAAGATCAGCACGAGCAGCGAGGCGCGGAGGGCCAGGAACACCCTCGAGGGGGGGGGGGATCCGCATGGTAGCCGGTCTGGGTCGCAGGCCCGCTCACCTCTGTGGCCCTGTGGAGGCCGCTGGGGCCCCTCGGAGGCAGCGCTCGGCGGCACCGGGCTGCCGCCGGCTTGCTCGTCGGTCTTTTCCGCGGGCAGGCAGCCCCGTGCCCCGGGGTAAGAGTGGCCTTTGCTGCGCGGCCGTTTGGGGGGCCGCGGGGAGGCCACACCTGGGCGCGCAAGCCGCTGCTGCCGCTTCGTTTCCAGCCATCTGAGGGCCCATCTGTGCCCGCACCACAGGCCACTCCGGCAAAAGGCCACCCGTACGTTAAGTCGGGCCTGTCCCCCTCTACAGGCCGATTTTGAACGACAACTAAAAATACCCCCAAGATACCCTAAAAATGCTCAAAAATTGTCAAAAAATACTCCCCTGACATTTTTTGACTGTTTCTGAACTTCCCCCCGGTAGAGGGACAGGCCCGACTTCACCCTGACGTCTGGCCGATACCATTGCAGGCCACGGGCGAGCTGGCTTCTTCAGTCCCGGCGCCTCTGCCCTGCAGCCTCGGCCATCCGGGGGCCACTCCCAGGCCCCAGGGACCACTCCACCATGCAGAGCATACGGGGGCGACGAGATGCCCCCCCGGGTTTTTGGAGATTGCGCGAGATTCGACAATTCGTTTGGAGGGCCACGATCTTTTGCACCTGTAGTAGGTTCTGCCGCGTCCGCCAGTGACATGACTCGTAGAGCTTCCCGAGCTTCTACCGCTGCTTTCCCTGAAGGCGGGGGGGGGGGGCCCCCCCCCGCCTTCAGGGAACGCAGCGGTGGAGACCTCGGCGGCCGGCGGCTCGAAAAGAGCCGCCCGTCGGGAGTCTGGGTTTCGGGCGCGTCAGCGCCCATTTAACGGGGACTCCACTGACGGGTACTTTGGCCAGTGACCCGGCGAACCCAACCCTTCCCGATGTGGACAACGCTGCAGTGCCAGAAAGAGGCCCTGAAGTGGCAACTTTCGGCAGCTTTCCCAAATACCCGTTAGTGAGTACCCGTTACTACGTTGCCCCTGAGTGCGGGGGTCTCTGCTTCACCGGCGATCCAGGTCCGCCGCACGCCGAACACGTCCCCCATGAGAGGCTGCAGCAGCTCCGCCGCGAGAGCCTCGAGGCAATTGTCTCTCTCTCTCTCTCTCTTGTGTGTGTATGTGTGTGCGTGCAAGCCGCGCGGCGTCTTTGCTGTGGCACTGGAGACGGCACACGAGATCGGGCGACAATCTTCTGTCGGAGTCTCGTTTTACCCCCCGGTCGCCGCAGCATCTGCGCCGGCAACTGCGGCCTCGGTGCGACCCCTGGTGGCAGCTTGATGTTAGGTCGGGCGTGTCCCCCTACAGGCGGATGTTGGACGAAACGTAAAAAATACCCCCCAAAATGCTCAAAAATACGGAACGCTGTCAAACATAAATCGCCCCCAGAAGATTTGTTGACTATTGTGGAGTTCTCTTCCTCTAGAGGGACAGGCCCGCCTTACGTTGAAGGCGTTCAGTGAGTCACGTCATTCGGAGGCGCACAGGAATGCTACGCCGCTCTCCGCCGGCGCATTCGCGGCCGCTGCTCACCCCCCCTCCCAGAGTGACGGAGCATGCCAGGAACTCCTGCAGGCAATCCCGTCTGGAGAAGAATCAAACTCCGGGGAGGAGGAGAGGAAGCAGATGGAGGTCGTAGGATTCGGTCGGGCACGTCCCCCTACAGGGGGATTGTGGGCAAAACAAGAAAACCATGTAGTCAAAACATATTCTAGAGTTGTCAAGAATAGTCGAACAATCGTCCCCAGACTATCTTTTGACTATCCTTGCGCACTCCTCCCGTAGAGGGACACGCCCGACCTAAGCGTGGGACGGGGAGGCGGCATACGCACAGGGGGCACGCGAGCCTCCGCCGCGGTGAGCACGACCATCACGACGGCGAGCCTGTCCGAGCGCCGGCCCAGATGGCTCGCGATGCGGAAGTAGTAGAACTCCTGAGTCTACTCTCAAGGCGGGCACGTCCCCCGACAGGCCGCTCTTGGACGAGAGATACCACGCATGGTCAAAACATGAACTCAAAAATGCAGAACATCGCCCCCAGACTACGTTTGACTACTTTTGCATACTCCTCCTGCAGAGGGACACGCCCGACTTAAGTCTACTCGACGCCGCCGCCGTCGCTGTCGCCTTCGTCGTCCTCATTACCCGTCGCCTTGCCGTCCCCTTCGATGCCGCCGCCATCGCCAGCGCCTTCGCCGCTCTTCGTCGTCCTCGACGCTTATCGTGGTCGTCCTCGCCACCGCCGTCGTCACCGCCGTCGTTTCTGCGGGGCTCCTGAAGCCACTCGACGTCCCCCTCGTCGCCGCCCGACAGGCTGCAGCGGGCAAAGTTCACCAGACAGCGCCGGAGTCTTCCCGACCAGGCGCCCCAGGCCGCGCAGGTCCAGGTACGGGCGCCCCTGCAGGCGCCAGCGCAGTCGGTCACCTGACCCGCCTGCCCCGTGTCGTCGGAGCCGAGGCTGTAAAGCGGCATGACACCGCCCAGGCTGCTCCGCCTAGACTTGCGGAGCCCGTAGCGGCGGATCTGCTCCCAGGCCTCCCCCCGGGTGTCCTCAAGGAGGGCAAGCCATGAGAAGGAGGAGTGGAAACAAAACAAAACTTCCTGTCGTGATTTGTTCGCGGCGCGAGAAGTGCTGGGATGACGAGTCCTCGCCCAACCTGTCCAGGATGTACGCGTCCACCTGGCCCTTCCCTTTCATCTCGACCTTGCCACGGAAGCGGTGCCGCGCCCAGCTGGGCATGCACGCGCGCGTCTCCTCCCCGAATTGGAGCTCGCCGTCGACCCCCTTCTGCATCATCCTCTGGGGGCAGCTCTGCCCAGGGAGTTGTGGGTCGAGGGTATGTGAGCGAGGCTTGGGAATTTCTGGGCCCTCGTGGGGTCTCCTGGGGCCTCTGGTGACCTCAAGACCAATGTCCAAACGGTTGGCGATTTCCTGACCACGATGCTTCTGCTGCTCCCCCGTTTGTGGTTCAGGGTCATGCTTTCGTCATCCTCGTCGCCCCCCCTGTCCCACCTGCTGACCCTCTTCACCATCGTCCTGCTCCTCTGCCCAATGTTTAAACACAGATTGCAACTAATCCTCCGTCTTCTGGCCCTGCACGCCCCCTCCCCCCCGCGTCCGTCCCTCCTCCAAACTGAACCTCATCAGCCTCATCCGCCTCTTCTCGTTCGTCTTCTGCTCCTCTGATCCCGACCTGTCTCCTCCATTCTGGAAAATGCTACGTTGGGCAAACCGTCTCCTCTTCCTCCTCCACCTCCTCCTCCAATCATGCATTACCAGCATCACGATCACCACATCCATCGCCATCGTCATCGTCATCAACATACGCAACAGCATACACATCATCATCAGCAACGCCACCACAATCATTATCAGCAGTATCACCATCATAAGCAGCATCCTCACCATCATCATCAGCAAGAACACCATCCTCACCATCATCACCATCATCATCTTCATCATTATCATGATCATCACCCGCATCATCACCAACGTCGTCGTCATCGTCATCATCATCAGAATCATCACCAACACCATTATCAGCCTCATCACCATCATCATCGTCATCATCATCCCATCTGGTTCCTCATCATCAGCATCACCATCATCATCTTCATCCTCATCATCACCAGCGTCGAAATCATGGCCACCCAAACAGTTACCAGTTACCATCATCGCCGACATCGGCAAAATCATCATCGCTGCTTCCCCCGATCGCATTACCCCTGTACTCCTCCCCCTCCCTTTTCAACCCCATTTCATCACCGCCCCCTGCCTCTGCCAATGCGTCCCTCCATCATCCAATCTCGTTTTCCTTCCCTTCCCATTCTTCAATACGTTTCTCGTCATTATCCTCCTCGGGCGCCTCATCCTCCTCCGTCTGCACATCATAATGCTTATCCTTGTTTTTCCGACGTCACCCTCTCTCCTCATCCTCCTTCCATGGTCCTCGTTCCACGCTTGCCTCGCCGAGACATCTCCACCTCCCACCCTTGTCCGTTCACTATCTTTTTGCATGCGCTATGCTCGATGCGACGCAGAAGGGTGATAAAACAGTACTCGGCCCCCGCTTTGCAGGAACATTCGGCCGACAAGTCTTCCGTCAGCCTTTACAGCGGGCCCCCCGCTTCTGGGGTGTTTTAGCCCGGCTTTGTGCGCAGAGTGGCGCGCCAGCGCGTCAATTTCATCTAACGCAGCGACTTCCTCTCCATGCAAAGGTGCACAATTCGTCAACACCCATTCACCGCACTGGTTGGCCTGTCTCTTCAGGTGAGCAAGCAGCCGGAGTCCTGTCGAGAAAACAATCTGGCACGCCTGGCACTTACAATCGCGGCCAGCATACATACGCATGACATTCCTCACGCCGTGCTTGACACGCATGTGCGTTAACAAAGCCTGCCTGGTCCCAAAAGCTCTGCCACTGCAGCGCGGGCGCGAGAACGAAGCAACCGGCGGCTGCGCCCTTTCACTGGCCCGTTGATTGTCGCAGACAGAATCTGCGAAGAAGAGCTGTGACACGAGCGAAACCCATTCCTCGGCGTGCTCGCGCAAAAACGCCTGCCACGCCTCAGGGCACGCATCCGGGTGAGGTAAGACTTCCCTGACACGGGCAACCCTCTCATACAACAGTCTGAGGTCCTTGCCGGCCTGCTGTGCCCACGGGAGCACCGGCCGTCCATCTTTGTCCCGAAGCGACAGCATGGCCTTCAACGGAAGCGAGGACGACCTTTCCAATCTGCCCAAGTACTTGAGTCTGCGTTTTACGAGTTCGCAATCGATCGAAGGAATGCTGCACTCAATGCGCACTTGTAAATCGGACCTCTCGTTTGCGTCAAAACGGACAGCATCGACGATCCGTCTGTGAACACGCATGTACGTAGCATTTATGACCTTCAGTTCACGCACGCTGAAACACCGCAGATGCGCATTGAACAAGAGCCTCGAAAATACCAGACTCTCACGAAGCGAACATTTCACTACCATGTCAAGTTCCTTCCACCCGAACACGCGTCTACATATCGGCACATAAGCGCCCATTGCCTTACTGCTGCGCTTTTTGGCATAAGCGAGATTGCCACCTTTCGCCTCGACCTCACTGCCAAGATGCGCGTGCACGCTAACAAGATGCACAACGTCATCGGGGCCAGGGATTGGCAAGGCTGGCCCCCTGTCGGTCTGCAAGGTCTGCCACGACGCGCACGCATCCTTTCCCCTCAGAGCAAGTATGCCTTCAGTCTTCCCCTTCTTGAAATTGATAACCATCCTGTGCTTGGTGAAAGCATCGACAAGAGCACGCAAGAGGGTATGGATGGCAGACAGCATGGAACGAGGAGGAGAAGCAAAAATAACGATGCCGAGATCATCAACACATGCGACGTCAAGCACCTCCTCCTCCTCCTCCCCATCGCCGCCCGCTCTCGGCGTGGTCGTGGTCTCCCACGCTGGGTTGGCACATCTCCTCACCCTGGTGGCGATGCCGGCTTCGCGCGACGCCTGCGCAAGCTGGTTAAGAGCAAGAGTATAACAACAATTGAACACGAGCCCGCCTAACTTGCAGCCCTGCCGGCCGCCAGTTCTCGCGTGGGCGAAGCCGTCCGCTCCGTCAGCCTGAAACCGGGACTTCGCGTGGAGCGCAACAACAGGGCGAGCGAGCTTCTCTGGCACCCCCATGTGCTGAAAGGCGTGCCCGTGCTGTTCTATGCAATCCAAAATCCACTCGGCATCCGGAGCATCAACCCCCATCCCCGTGAGGTACTCGAGCTGGGCGCTGCGAGTTTCAGGGGCGTCCTGAGGGAATCCCACGCACAATTCCCGGACAACGCCGTCGAAAGCTTTCACAATATCAACATAGAGCACGAACGCACATTGCCCCACGGCCTTAGCGTAGGCAAGGGCAGTCAAGATGAAATGGTGCGCTAGATCGGCGCCTTTCTTTGCTACAGCTCCGTGCCGGCTCTGCGGCACAAGCGCGTGCTATGCATCCTCAAGGTCATTCTTCAACAAGGAAATAAATGGTTTCGCCTGATGGTCCACAACAGTGAGTCCGCGTGAACAATCGAGATCCCGAGAATCCCCCTTGCCCTATACAACTTGACCAATCGACCCCCCTTTGTCCTGGAAAGGGACTTCCTCGAGCGCAAGGACCATTTCAGCAAGCTTCGACTGCTGCACAGCCATCGCGAACCCCCCTGCCTGCAGGAGGGCAAATCCGATGCCATCACGGCCGAGGGCGCAAGTTGTTTGTTTGCTTACTGTCGGCATCAATCAACCTGCCGGGAGAAACGCCCATCGATCCAACAGCAACACGCTCAGGGCGAGACTTCACTACATCTGCAGATCTCGTTGCCGCGCCTTTTAGAAACAGCGCAACAATGACGTTGCACGCGCTCCAACATCTGCTCTGTCGACTGAGAGACGGACCCGTCCTCCATCAGGACAGCGGGCGCCGGCTTAGACGGCTTCCCTGCCATTTTCTTAACAATGGCGAAAACCCGTTTGCTGTCGCGATTATCAGAGGCACGCTGTGCACCGAAGGCAAGCTTACTGAAGAAGGAAACTCTGTCAAACTTCACAAGTGGAGCTGTCGCTGAATGCAACGCCACAACACAATGGAACGCAAGAGCCTCTGCGCGACGCAGAAGTTCCACCCTGTTCAGAACATCCTGCATTCTCAATTTTGCACACCATCCTAGCTCAAGGCGCGGGCTTCCGTCAGAACTCCGGGAGGAGGGGACAAAGCGACATTGGCAGACAGATGCCCAAGCATGAACGTAGGCAAGCAAAAACAACACGCGCGCGCTACTTCTCAACGCACGCATGCGCCTCCTCATGGGTCCCGACAGAGACACGAACTCGAACGTGCACTGGGAAATCCAAGTCTGCCTCGGCTTCTTCTGAGGTGGTCCGAACACTTGCTTCACTGGCGCCCGGATGCACTCCGACACTTCGCTGCGGTACTTGTGCACATCCAGGCGGTCAGAAGGCTGGAACAACCACATTGCAGATTGGAGCCTCTCAACCAACACAGGGTCATACAAAGCACTCTCGTTGAAGAAACAACGCTGCCTAGCGCCACCTTGGGAGCGTTCTTTTACTTCGGTACTCAATTGCACGGTGACCTGCACAAGCCGGATCGTCTTTGCACCCCCTCGCGAGGCACACCCTGTCTGGAACGCAGCAAGCAACCACAATTTGCAACCAGCCAGGCGGGATACACGCATAGTCAAACCTGTGGAGAGTAGCCCAAGAAGACGTCCAAGTGCGCCCCGCCTTCCAAAATGCATTCACTGCACAAAGCTCACAAGCGCGCAGACACGCACGGAACAGTTGGCCTTTCTAGTTCTCGGACTCGCTCTCGATCCCTCCTATCCACCTGCTGGTGACAGAGCCAACGCGAGCATTCGCATCGAACAACAATATGAGGAGATGACATTTCGCATGAGCAGCGCGCGCAACATGACAGACATGACCCCAGAACGCGTGCTTCACAACTCTGGCGGCCCCCTCGTGCGGGGCATGCCCGGAGACAACATGAACATGTTTCGTCAGACCTCTCGCCCGGACCACCACCTCGACAAGGCGGGGGCTATGCGGCGCCCAATCCTGCACGCGCAAACCAGGCCTCCTCATCCTCACCCAAACCTGCGCGCCGTAATTGCCACTCGGGTCAGCGCTTGCAATGTAAGGATCGAAGACAAGGCCTTCAACCATGTGCGACAACTGCGTCCGTCCCTCCTGCGCGCCAATGGCGTCAAGGCACGCCGCGTCAAACTGCATCTCAAGCAACTGGGCGCGGCC